TCTGTGCTGCTGTCCAGGTTGGCATGTTGGGGTGTACTGGGCTTGCCTCCAGCCGAAGGGTGAGGGGGATTTCTCCTTGAAAGTTCTGAGCACTGAAGTTTGTCTCTGTTTGCACTCTCTGGATCAGCACCAGTACCTTGAGGGTTTTCTGCACTAGTGTTCTGTGGGCAGACCCATGTAGTTCTGGGGTTCCCCCACAGGGCTGTGGGGCCTAGTGGCTTTGATGGGATGGAGCCACTCCGCTGCATGGGTGAGGGGTGGGAGAGGGGTCTTTGTGCAGTCTCCCAGCTCCGAGGTTTCTTTCTTTGCAATCAGGCGTCTTCTGTGCCATTGATCTGCAGACGACCCCCTGTGTCTCCAGGGTCTCCAGCAGCCCCTGCCGGGCTGGGCTGGCTGCGGCTTGGCACATTGCTGTACAACCAGCAATGGTTCGGGGAAGGAGTCTTCGCACTTTTCCGTTCTGAAATTTTTCCTTTTCTTTCTTTCTTTTTTGGCCTCCTGTTTTTCTCTGGGTGTTTGTCTTTTTGTTGTTGTTGGTCTCTTGGGGAAATTAAGTGTTAGAATTTGAGCTCTCTTTTTGGTTGGAGAGAGCTGCGGTGTTTCTCTACTGTCCTGTCACCATCTTGGTCCCCTCTCTCCCATGCATTTTTCTGCCTTAGTTGGCTTTGAACTAGAATCCTCAGATCACAGCTTTCTAAGTAGCTAAGTTGGATTGCAGGTTAGAACCATCAGTATCTGGCTTATAATTACCCATTATATAGCTTTTCCATAATTTTATCTATCTGTTGATGGATATTTAGGTGGCTCCCACTTTTAGCTATTATGAATGTTTTTTTTATGAGTGTTTGTGTAAACTTTTCTCTAGGTTTGTCTTGTCAGTTCTCTTGGAGTGTTTCAATACCTGGGTCATACAATAATAACTGTTTTCCACATTGCCAGGCTGTTTTCCATAGTTACTGTGCCATTTTACATTCCCACCAATGCTGGGTGCTCTCTGTCATTTCAGTTACAGCCAACCTAGTGGGTACCAAGTGTTATCTCACTGCATCTTTGGGTCACATTTTCCTTTCATCTGCATGCTTCTCCCTTTTATGATAGTTTGATCATATGCATCCATATTTGTAAATAATATATTGATTTGTTTTACATTTTGATTAATTACTAAAATTCATCATGCAAGTATGATTGACATAGGTGTGCATCCTTCCATAACATACTTATTTCACTAAATTTGACCCTTTTGAGATCCATTCATTCCACTATATAAATATAACATAATTATGTACTCATTCCACTGATGACATCTAGGTCATTTCCAATTTTTGCCTTTATATACAAGGCTGCTGTGAATATTTCTGTACACACATGCACAGATGCAAGATTCTTTTCTAGGTCCTAGATAGAAGTGGAGTTTCTGGGTTGTAAGAATACAAATTTTCAACCCTACATGATAATGCCAAATAGTCTTCCAGCATGACTGTGGACTGTGTTAGTTCATACTGCCTGACCCAACAGTGTTAGAACTTCTGCTGCTCCATCATCTTTTCAACATTAAATAGTATCACATTTCTTAAGTTTTACTAAATTGTAAAAGTAACATTACAATTTAGCTCAGTGTGGTTTTACTTTATATTTCTGTGATTTCTACTGAAATTGAGCATTTTTTCGCTTGAGAGGCATCATTTAAAAAAAAACTCTTAGAAATTATGGAGCTTGGTCCATTTTTGATATATTTGTCTTTTTCTTATTTGTAAAAGTTCTTTTTATAGAGATAGTTTAAAAAATTGTTTATATAGTGATATACTGACACTTGGTCAGTTGTATATATTGCAAAATCTCCAAATACTGGCCTCTCTTTCTATTTCTTTAGTACCTTTTGATGAACAAAAATTCTTAATTTCATTGGAACTGTCTGTATTTTGCATCTTAAAGCAATTCTTTCCTTATTCCAAGATTATAAAGCTATAATTGCAGATTGTCTCAGACAGGCTTAAATTTCTGCTTTCCATATTTAAATATTTTTTGGAACTGGAATTTTTTAACAACTTTATTTTGTTTTAGAGGTGATATACAGTGGGGGGTTACCTTTACATACATCAAGTAATAAGTACATTTCCTTCCTTTTGTATAGTATCTTATGTTCCCTCATTCTCTCCCATTCCCTCCCTCCTGCATCCTCCCATGGGTTGCATGGTTCACTTTTGTCAATGTCCAGTGCAGCTAGTAAGTACCACTGTTGTACTTTTAACCCATTCTCCACTGATTTTGTGTCCCCCTTACCTTCCCTCAGATGTATACGTTGAATTCACCAAATCCTTTAAGGTAAAGAATACAGAGTCACCAGAAAATGAAAAGAAAAAAAAACTTCAGAGAAAAGTCCTTTGTTTCCATATCTTTGCATTTTGTTTCAATATGTATATTATTTTATATGCATATGAAGAAGTACTTGGGTATTACAACTTGGTGATTTTCTCCTAAGACTGTCCTCTTTTGGTCTAATTGTACGTCTGTATCTAGAATCCTATATAATTTGTCATGTCCCATTATATTTTAAATCTAGCTTCAACATGTCAGGGAGAACATATGCCGTTTGTCTTTCTGATCTAGGCTTACCTCACTTAATATGATTTGTTCTAGTTCCATTCATTTCCCTGCAAATAACATTATTATTATTGTTATTATTATTATTGTTGATCCTTGGGCTTGAACTCTGGGCCTGGGTACTGTCCCTTAGCTCTTCAGCTCAAGGTGAGTGCTCTACGACTTGAGCCACAGTGTCACTTGCGGCTTTTTCTGCTTATGTGGTACTTTTGTAGGCCTTTGTCTGATGTATTCCTGGTAAAGATCTTTTCCCAATTGATTGGCAGTCTTTCTAGTTTAGTAGCTATGTCCATTGCTGTGCAGAAACTTTTTATTTTAATAGAGTCCCATTTGTCAAGTCTCTCTCCTATCTCTTGTACTCTTGGGACTCTATTCAGGAAGTTCCTGCCTGTACCTATAAGTTCTAATGTCCCTCCTACTCTCTCTTGCAATAGTTTCAGAGTTTCAGGTCTGATATTTAGGTCTTTAATTCATTTTGAGTTGATATTAGTGCATGGTGACAAGCAGGTATCTACTTTCAGTTTTCTAATATGGTTGCCTCATTTTCCCCATACCAATAGTTGAAGAGGCTATGTTTATTTCTACTGTATATCTTTGGCTCCTTTGTTGAATATCAGATCACTATAAGTATGTGATTTTATTTCTGGGTCTTCTAATCTGTTCCATTGATCTTCAGATCTATTTTTGTGTCCATACCAATCTGTTTTTGTTATTATGGCTCTGCAATAGAATTTGAAATCTGGTATTGTGATACCACCTGCATTGCTTTTTTTTGGCCTCAAATTGCATTAGTTATTCTAGATCTTTTGTTGTTCCATATGAATATTTGGATTGTTTTCTCTATCTCAGTAAGGTACGTCATTGTGATTTTGATAGGGATTGCATTGAATTTGTATATCATTTTTGGCAGTATGGCCATTTTCACACTATTGATTCTGCCTATAGATGAACATGGAAGGTCTTTCCATTTCCTGATGTCCTCTTTGATTTCTTTAGATTTTTTTTTTATAGATTTCACTATAAAGATCTTTTATATCTTGGGTTAAGTTAATTTCTAGGTATTTTGTTCTGAGGCAATTGCAAATGAGGTTGTTTCCATGATTTCCCTTTCTGCATTACATTGTTGGCATGCAGAAAGGCCACTGCTTTTTGTGAGTTAATTTTGTATCTTGCTACTTTGCTGAAGTGGTTGATAAGCTCTAAGATTCCTTCAGGTATAAGGTCATGTCATCTGCGAATAGGGATAGTTTAATTTCTTTCCCTATGTAGATCCCTTTAATGTTCTTTTCTTGCCTTATTTCTCTGGCTAAGAATTCCAAAACTATATTGAAGAGGAATAGAAAGAGTGAGCATCTTTGCCTTGTTCCTGATTTTAAGAGAAATTATTTTAGTTTCTCCCCATTTAGTATGATACTGGTTGTTGGTCTGTCATACATAGCTTTTATTGCTTTAAGAAGTGTTCCTTCTATTCCTAGTTTCTCCGAAGCTTTTAAACATGAATGGGTGTTGAATATTGTTGAAGGCCTTTTCTGCATCCATTGAGATGATCATATGGTTCATAACCTTCACTCTGTTGATGTGGTGAATTAAATTTTTTGACTTGTGTTAGTTAAACCACCCCTGTTTCTGTGGGATGAAGACAACTTGGTTATAATTATGATTTTTTAAATTTGTTTCTGGTTATAATTGTGATTTTTAAAATTTGTTTCTGGAATCTGTTGGCTAATACTTTATTGAGGAGCTTTGCATCTGTGTCATCAGAGAAATTGGTCTGTAGTTCTCTTTTATTGTTGGGTCCTTACCTGGTTTTGGGATGAGCGTGATACTGGCTTCATAAAGAGAGTTTGGGATTGCTCCTTCTGCTTCTATTTCATGGAAAAGCTTGGGTTATTTACTTGAGCTGTTTTTGTTTTTTTTTTATGTGTGCACTTAGGGCTATGCACTTTCTCTTCAGTACTACTTTTATTATATCCCAAAGGTTCCATTGTGATCTGTTTTCATTTTCATTGAGTTGTAAGAACTTTCTAACTTCTTCCTTCATTTCTTTTGTGACCCAGGTGTTAATTCACTAATGTGCTGTTCAGTCTCCATGTATTTGAGTAATTTTTACACTATGTTTTGCTGTTAAGTTTGATTCCACTGTGGTCAGATAGGATGCAAGGGATTATGCCAGTCCTATAGTATTTGCTTAGGTTCTTTGTATGAATTATGATATGATCTATTTTGGAGAATGTTCCATGAGCTGCTGAGAAGAATGGATATTGGGTTGTTTTTGAGTGGAAAACTGTAGATGACTGTTAAGTCCATTTGAGTTATGGTGTCATTTAGTTCAGTCTTCTTTACTTTTGTTTGGTTGACCTGTTGTTTGATGACAGTGTTGTGTTGAAAAGCTCCCACTAGTACTCGTTTCAGCAGCCCATATCCTAAAATTGCAATGAGAGAGAGAAGATTAGCATGGCCCCTGCACAAGGATGACATTCAAATTCATGAAGTGTTCCATCTTTTTAAGAGGTTTTATCTTTGTCGCTGTTTTTGATGTACTATGTGATTTTTTTGTTTCTTTTGTATGTTCTTCTCCCATGGTATAACCTCTGTTTAAACTGTATTTGATTCCGATGCCCTGCATCTTGTATATACATTTTTCTAATTTGGGGAGGGGAAGGGAAATAACAAAATGCTGAAACAAGGATACAGCTTGACCCATTGTAACAATGAGATTTACAAGACACTATATTGAAAATGAACTTTAAAACTTGGTGGGGGTGGGGGTGAGGGAGGAGTTGAATAGGTGGGGAGAGAAGGGATGGTAGGGGAAAAACTAAGGAGAGGGTAACAATGCTCAATAGGAAATGTGCTCATTACCTTACTCATATAACTGTAACCCCTCTGGACAGTATCATAATATATATATATATATATATATATATATATATATATATATATATATGTATCACTATTTTTGTGTTTGTGTTTATCTTGTTTGGTAAGTCCTAGAGTATTTGTTTAATGTATTTGGGTGCTCATTGTTTGGTGCATAGATATTGACCACTGTGGTTTCCATGGATCACTCCCTTTATTAATATATAATGACCTTCCTTGTTTCCTTCTACTGGTTTTAATGAGAAGTCTATTTTATCAGATATCAATATGGCCACTCCTGCCTTTTTGCAGGGTTCATTTGCATGGAAGATCTTTTTCCATCCCTTCACTGAGAATTTATTTTTATCTTTGGCTGTGAGATGGGTCTCTTGGAGACAACAAATGGATGGATCTGCTGTTCTTTTTCTTTTGATTGGAGAATTGAGTCTGTTAATGTTTACAGTTGTTATAAAGAGAGGTGCCATGTTTCCTGACATTATCTTGTTTCCTATATTTTGCTTCTTTCCTCTTACTGTGATTACTAAATTGGTCTTCTAGTGATTTTTGTTGGATATGTTTCCTTGATTTTGTTTTCTTCAGATTGTATTCCTCCCTTTAGTATTCTTCATAGTGCTGGTTAAGTGTTCATGAATTCCTTTAGTTTTTGTTTGTCATGGAAAGTTTTAGTTTTACCATCTAATAGTCATAGCTTCACTGGGTACACCAGTATGGGTTGGCAGTTACTGATCCTTAGGGCTTGTTTAATACCATTCCAGACTCTCCTTGCATTGAGGGCTTGTGTGAGGAGGTACGTAGTGATTCTGATTCTCTTTCCATTGTAATATAGCTCCTTCTTTGATTTTGCAGCATTCAAAATCAACTCCTTGCTATTCAAGTGTTTTCACTGTGATGTGTCTAAAATGTTTTTACTTGGATCCTGTCTACCAGGGGTTCCATATGCTTCTGTTAGGTGGGTGAGGTTTTCTCTCTTAAGATGGTATTAATTTAATCTTTTAATGGGATATTTACCATGTATATTTTTTTCTGCGTCTCTTTTTTGGAGTCTTGGATTTCCTTTGTGATTTCTTTTTTGCACTCTTGAAGTAGCTTTTGCACTGCCCTTTTTATTTCTTTGGTCAATTGTCATCATTTCTTAATGGTTCTTGTATCTTCCATCTCTTCTTCACTCTCACTCGGGTCCCACTCTGTGTTGTTGTGGGCTTTTGGATTTGCTTTGTTGCCTTGTCTATGAATCTTGTAATATTTTCACTGTGGTTTATGTTCATTTGGGTTCTGAGATTGTCTTGAGTCCCATCCGGAGCTTGACTTGTTCACACCCAGATGGTAGTGGCCCACACTTGGCCTGAGCTAGTTCACACTGGGTAGGCTAGCCCACTCTTGGTGCCTGGGACTAGCAAGCAACTGTGCACACCCTCAGCCCTGGGCTAGCTGTAAGGAGCTGAGTCCAGTCTGCAGGATGGGCTGGAAGGTTAGATTCAGGCCTCCCAGATAGGCGGGGGCTTTGGATGGGTTGGGCTCACCACAGGTGAACAGGATTTTGTTTGTGCATTGGCCTGGGGTTGGTTCTCCCCACAAGTGGCCAGCCTGCGGCAGCTTGTACAAAGCCTTAGCTGCTCCGGGAATGTGATCCACCAACAGCTTGTTCAATTGGAAATATCTATACTGCTCAGTGCTGGGGAGAGTAGTCTCTGAGCCTCCCAGATATTGGATATTGCGGGAGGTTTCTGAAGGGGCAGGCTCTGCCAGCCTCCTCATAAGGGGGTGCTCCAAGCGGCCGGCATGGGAGAGTGCTTGCTCTATCATGCTCTCAATCACCTAGTGGCTCCAGGAGAGGGAGCACTTTGCTTGGAGTTGGTGCTCCTACAGGTTTCCCAGTACCCAATGGGAGAACCTCCAGTTTTGGAAGGGATGGAATTTGTTTTGATATTATTAAAAAGTATTGAATATGTTCAGCTCCTCAAAATTCTTGTGTAGAGTCTCTGGATTATACTCTGTACACATCAAAAACTAGAAATAATGAAAGACTACTTTGTGTTTACCACAGCATAAACTTTTCTATGTAATTTCCTTTTCCTGTATTGGCTAGGACCTTTCATTCTAGGTCAGATAGAAGTAATTATTTGTTTTGATTCATTTTGATTCTTTTTTACTTTTGAACCTAGACTAGGTTTAGAAACAGAAGTCATTATAAGTTCCTCAAAAGACTCCACATAGAGCTCCCCTATGACCCAGAAATCCCACTTTTGGGCATTTACCCAAATGTTTACAAACAAGACCACACTAAAGCTACCAGCATGACTATGTTTATTGCAGCACTATTTACTATAGCTAAGATATGGAACCAACCCAGATGGGCCTCAGTAGATGAATGGATCAAGAAAATGTGGTATATATACACAATGGAATTCAATGCCTCTATCAGAAAGAATGACATTGCCCCATTTGTTAGGAAATGGAAAAGCTTGGAAAAAGTTATATTAAGTGAAGTAAGCCAGGCCCAAAGAAACATAGGTCCCATGGTTTCCCTTATTTGCAATATCTAGTATATGTCTGAGTCAAGCAGAAAATGTCAGATAAGGTGATGTTAGGGAAATGAACCCTAAAGATATGTATTCAAATGTTTTTTTTCTTTCATGTGATTGTTTCTAACACATTTATGAGATTATTTCTTTGTTGCTTTGTATGTCCCTCCCCCACAGTATAACCCCTGCTTTCACTGTATTTGATGTCGGTATAATTTGTGGAGGGGAAGGGGAAAAACAAATCGTTTAAATAGGGATACAGGTGGACCCATTGCAACAATGGGATGTACAAGTCGTTATGTTGAAAAATGAACTTTACAACTTTGGTCGGGGGTGGGGTAGCAGGGAGGATTGGGGTGGGGGGATGGAGGGAAGATGGGAAGGGATAGGAAGGGGAAACTAAGGAGGAGGCTACAATGCTTGATAAGAAATGTACTCATTATCTTGCCCATGTAATTGTAACCCCTCTGTATAGTATTTTCACAATAAAAAAATAAAAATAGAAAAAAAGAAACAGAAGTCATTATAGAAGAAATAAGTTACGATTAGTAACTTCCTTCTGTATACACCCAAGGATAGTTACTTAATATTTGTCTATATTGCTACCTAATTTCTTGATTTACCCTTTTGTCAATTTTACCAATTTCTTAATTTTCGTTTCTAAGCCATGTAAACAATATATTCTCACAATGACAGTTTGAACAGTACTGAAGTGTTATAAGAAGCTCTAACTCCTATACTCTACTCTCAGAGCTTGTTCTTCCTCTGGAGGTTTTTTTAAAGGACATCTTATATGTATATGCATGCATCTTTCTTCACACATAGTTTGCATAATATACAAACTCCTCTGCTCCTTATTTACCTGCTGGCATAAACTCCCTGGCACAGAGCTGCTCCAAAATAGTCCTTTCCTTCCTAGTACCACTCCTCACCAGGGATATTGCAGTGTGCCTCGTTCAGCTGACACGTGCTCATAGACAGAATTCAAGGCAACCAACTGTAGGGATATTTTCTGCTTCAGTTATCCTAACATAGGATCAGGTTTCTCTCCTGCAAAGCCCAAGCATCAATTTTTAAGTAAGATCCCAGCAACTATGATAAACTCAAGATTGGGGACTAACTTTGGCAATAACAGTGATAAAAGATTTCTACAGGTGTTTGAAGCCTAGTGTGTGGCTGAGTTTTCCCTGCTAATTCCTGATTTCAAGGGAGGAAATGATCTTTGCCTATTTACTTTGCTGGAGTTGTCTGCTTAGGTCAGCAGAATCCTAGTTATTATTGAATTGAACAAATAAAAGCTTTCCCTAAAGTTTCCTGCTGGGCTGATACTTTGTTTCAGGACTGAAGTGGAGGCATTATTCAAGCTCACTATGTGGGAGCTGCAATTGCTTCCTTAGACCAAATGCATTCTGCTTTTATTAGCTCCTTCAGTATCATTAACAACAGCTCTTCCTTAGCTGTTTTCACCTGTCATCTGCATTTTACTATCCACTACCTCCTGTTTCTAAATGATAAATTAGAAATTAGATTTTAGGGCAAGCATAAAATTGAAGGGGAGTTTTATCAACACCTATAAGGAAGTAATGTGTGTGTGTGTGTGTGTGTGTGTGTGTGTGTGTGTGTGTGTGTGTGTGTATCTCAGATACCAAATGATCAAGTAAATGAATAAAAATAGTTAAAAATGATAATAAAGTAAACAAGTTTTGCTCATGTTTGTTTCTTACATGAAATATTCAGATGTGTCCAAAAAAAGCCATGGAAAGCCTGGTGCTGGTGGCTCATGTGTTATCCTAGCTACTCAGGAAACTGAGATCTGAGGATCACCATTTAAAGCCAGACTGGGCAGGAAAATCCCTGTGAGACACTTATCTCCAACTGAGCACTCAAAAAACAGAAATAGAGCTGTGGCTCAAAGTGGTAGAGCATTAACCTTGGGCAAAAGAGCTCAGGGATAGCACGTAGGCCCTGAGTTCACTCCCCATGACTCTCCCCAAAAAAAAACAGCACAGAAATTTTTGGGTTTAAGAGATGATAATCTGATCCTTAAAGACCATTTTTCAATTGTATTTTGAGGAAATGAGAGCAGTATCAAATAAGAGGATAA